CCACCAAACTTTACACTTGGCAAAATGCAATAAGGCAAGTACCGTTCTCCTGGCAACCGCCAAACCCAGACATGTCCATTGGATTGCCAGACAGAGAAGGTGTGATTCGCTACTCCAGAGAACATGTCTCCACTGCTTTAGAGTCCAGTGGTGGCGTGCTTTACACCACTGCATCCAATGCTTTGCATTGCACTTGGTGATGTAAGGCTTGGATGCAGCTGCTGGGCCATGGAAACACATTCCTTGAAGCTCTCTACGTACTGTTGTGCTAATCTTAAGGCCACATGAAGTTTGGAGGTCTTTAGCTATTGACTCTTCAGACAGTTGGTGACTTCCGTGCACTGACCCCGCTCTGTCATTTTACGTGGTCTACCACTTCGTGGCTTAGTTGCTGCTGTTTCCAGTTGCTTCCACTTTGTTATAATACCACTAACAGTTTTCCGGGGAATATTTAGTAGCAAGGTAATTTAACGGATGGACTTATTGCACAGGTGGCAACCTATCATGGTACCACACTTGAATTCACTGAGCTGAGAGCGACCCATTCTTTCACAAATGTTTGTAGAAGCAGTCTGCATGCCTAGGTGCTTGATTTTATACATCTATGGCCATGGAGGTGATTGGGACACCTGAATCCAGTTATTTGGAGGTGTTTCCCAATACTTTTGGCAATATAGTGTGCAGTCCAGCGAGAGTGCCAAACATCCACGAGTCTAAGGTGACAGCACATCAAATGTAACACTGGTGGAAACAGTGATTGGGGAAGTGTTGTCTACCTCCATCTGATTAGCTTGCAGTTCCTGCTGTTGTGTCACCTTCATAGCATCAGCCAAGGGAAACCTCTGCAGCAGAGACACAGCCCTGATGAAGGGCTTTTTTGGTCTCGGAAACGCTTTGGATAATTTCTGCTATGAATCAACTTTATCATTTAAAAACCTTGGACTCTTGGATGATTGGCGCTTTTATTGGACTGCATGTACAGTATGTCTATTTGGTAGACTATTGTTTTAATGGATAAGATGCATGAATACCAGAAACCTATCTTTGAGGACCCGGTTTCCCTATACCAGTTACAGCTGATTCCCTTGGCATTGTTTTGTGTTGACACTCTAGAGAATGTAATTTGTCAAGTCCCTGGAATATTCCTTATATTGGTGGAAATGCACAGGATTTTGTGGTTGAAAGCCTGGTCTGCTTTGAGCGGTTTGTAAAAATCATAATTTATGCATGGCTTTTGATGGTGAACGTCTATTTGGGGAAATCCCTTGATACATTTATCAAGGAAGTCACTGGGAGGAAAGGTAATCCATCCCAAAAGTGCCTGGTTTGGCTACTATTACTTCTCAGCGAAGAGTTTTTTTTTTCTTCACTCCCCTCTAGGTGTTTACTTCCAAACCAAGGCATAGCACCTCCCTTTTGTCGCAAGCCCTCCTCACAATAAAGGGTTGCCCCCATTTTTAGTGCCAGTGTGGATCAGTGTTCCAGACCGCTGGGCCCAGTCTCATTACAAAGGCACAAAATAGTTTCCAGTCTGCCAGCTTCAGCCCAGAAGGCGGCAGCATTAATGACTGCCTTGTACCAACTTAAGGCAAAAATGGTTTCTTTTTACCAGTTCCTTTTTGAAGAACAGTTTCAAGGTTAATATTCCAATGTCTTCATGTTGCCAAAAGTAAATGGGGGCTTTTGGATTTAATATCCCTAAACAGATTTTTTTTGTGTACCAAAGTTCTGGATGAAATCAACAAGATCTCTGATTACTTCTTTCAGGCAAAGGGTAGTTTCTGGCATCAGTAGACATAAAAGATGTCTTTCAACACTTCCCCTCACAGGTTGGCCCAAAGAAACAATTTCACTTACTAATTGATTCACCTGCGGTCAGTGCTATATGAACGGTATGTAGCATCCGCTATAATCAATAATAAAGATCTGTGTTCCAGCAGCTATATGGGGAGTTCCCATCTGCTGTCACAAGAAAAAACTTGAGTTGGGCTGAGTGCTGCTCAGCCATTCCCAGGAAGCAGTGGCTTTTATCAATGATTATAGGGCTTCCTGTAGCTGAAGTGGAGACTGTGACATCGTCTGCCTGCCTCTCCACCTCAGCCAATAAGGGTAATGCTTGTATTCATTGATAAAATAAAAGGCTTCTTGTGAATGTCTGTCTGAGAAGCACTCGGCCTGACTTGATTTTTTTTTTTTTTTTTTTCCCGACAGGAGACAGTCCCTGTATCACTGCTGAAACTCAGTGCTTTATACTGTATCTCATTGATGTCATTGATGTTCCATACACTTTATGGAGCACTGACATCAGGCAAAAAAGGTTTAGCTTCACAGTCAGCACTCAGTTTTATGTTCCAATGCACAGGCTAGATTTGTAGAGGAGGTAGTAGAAGTTGCAAAGCTAAACCGGATAGGAGGTGTCATCTGCCTGGCTGTGTGGCTGGTAGTAGTGGGAGAATTGATATTTTAATTACACTTTAAACACTTGTAGGACCCCTTCGTCAAGGGAAGATAACAAGCTTCAACAACTTTTGAGTGCTTGCTACTTAAGACCTTGATCGTATGGTGCTTTCCACTGCGCTTGTACCCTAACGTATGGGTAATGCAAGTTGGGTAAAAGGGTTAGTATAAAATGGATTTTTTCACCTAAACAGAAACACTGATGGAACAGATTTACAAATCCTTTGGCAGGTGATACATTTCTTATGTACTCCTTTTTGAGCTTTTAGTTGCTTGACTGGACTTCAGGATTAGGCTCTATGCACATTAGTGTTTTTTAGGCTCCTAGAAGCTGTTGATAACATTTTTTTTTTTCTCTGCTCCTAAAAACTAAATAGTGTCATCCTATTTGTCCATGCACACTAATTTGGACTATTAGCATTTTTTGGAGCTTCAGCTTCTAGGAGGAGAAGAAAAATTATTTTTGTAGAGTTTGGAGCATTTTTCCAGCAGAAAAAAAGCTATGAACAGATTTACAGTGTGTAAAAACGCTTCTAAACGCCCTTAAAATGCTACTAAAAAATGCTATTACCAGCGGGGTTTTTTCAGAGGTTTTTGAGCTTAGAAAAAAAAAATGCTAGTGTGCATGGAGCCTTAAAGTGTATGTCCAGGTATTACCCTCAAACCTCCCTGTCCCCCTCTGTAACATACCCCAATATTTATTTTTTCTTTTCTTGTTAATGTAGCCTGAAGCAGCTTTAATTACTCCTTGTGACATCATTAGGCTTCTAAAATTCTTGCAGGGGCAGTTGCTGGGGGTTCATTTTCTGTTAGCAAAGGTATATCACCAAGAATTGTATCTCCAAGGATCCCTTTTCCTATACACAGTATATGGACAGGCGTTTGGGAAGCATTTGCATCCTGCAGTTTCACAACAATTGCAGAATTGCGTGCTACATTTAGGGAAAAAGGAAGCATATAGGGCAGGGGTGTCAAACTGGCAGCCCTCCAGCTGTTGCGGAACTACCACTTCCATGAGGCATTGCAAGGCTGACCGTTACAAACATGACTCCCACAGGCAGAGGCATGATGGGACTTGTAGTTCCGCAACAGCTGGAGGGCCGCCAGTTTGACACCCCTGATATAGGGACTTCCTTTTTCCCTGAGTTGCTACTTGTCCTCTTATATTTGTGGGCACACTGTAGATTGCTTACAGAGAGTGTATTGTAGTTAAACTATTTTAGTTGTGTTTTGTGTTTTCATAAGCTCTTTTAAAGTCTGTTTGGAAGGTATGGATGCCAGTAGCAATAGGGATTAAGCTCTTTAATCCCACCCCCCCCAAAAAAGGATTCTCCAGGGTAATGCATGCTTATAGCCCCAGTTTTGAAATTTGTGCGGTGCTGCCTCTGCTTCACTTAGAGCTTGTGCACACCAGGTGCCATGCAGGAATGTGTGAAAAATTGTGCAGTTTCCTGTGATGCACAAATGTGTGTTGCCTTCTGCAGACACGCGTTGGTACTGTTAATTCATATTGGCACCCCCACATAACTGTTAAACATGCTTATGTTTGTTACTGTCAAAACACATAGTACCACACTAGTCTAAATATACTTTTTGCGTGTTTTACATGTGTAGGGCAGCCATTGAAATTACTAGGCTGCCTTAATTGTACCAAAATCACGAGTTCTCTTATGAACTTTATGAAGTGAATGAGCCTTCAAATGTGTTCTTTGTCAAAACAGTAGACAAGAAGAACACTACATTGCACCTAGGTATTTTGTAGCATGCGTTTCCTGGTAACTATTGATTACAATCTGAACATTGTAAAGCAGGCACACCCCTCCTTTGCTATGATCTGCCTCAGGACCATCCTGAAATTTATATGATTGTAACAAATTTCTGAAAGTTTTTGAGACCAAGCCTAAAACACCTATGTGATGGTGCCTGGTCTTAGTGAGTGGCTGTTTAGACATTGCAAGCTACGTTTTTGGAAGTGTCATGTATTCTTTATACCCAGAGGTCTCAGATTGGAAGGTAGGGTCACCTTAGAACTTTGATTTATAGCATTTGTTTACGATTTCTTAGTTTGCTTTAAGAAAAAACTTTTTTAATACATTTTTTCTAGTAGTCACTAAAAAAATATATACCCCCCCCCCTCACATACATGAAATAATTTAGTACAGTGCCAGTGCAATCTTCTGCATCTCTAGAATTTTGGTTTGCACAGGAAATGCAATTTCATTGCTGATCACATCAAAGTACTTGTATGCATTTAACATTAAATGGCCATTTCAATGCTGTGTATAAGCCAAAGTGATGGATCTTGTCAAATGCTTCACTAGTAACAGTAAGAATTGTGGTTTGATGTGCCATGATGAACCGCATTTAGCTTTATTCTGGTGATAAATAACATGAACAGTATAAAGACCATGGAGTGTTAATCTGTCACATGTTTTACAAGGGTGTGGATCAGCTTGGAGATTTAAGGACATACTGCCCAGACTGTGTCTGAAATGCTGCAGATTTGCTTGTTTGCTCAATGTCTTCCTTTTTCCTACATTTTAGGGACCTGAACAGTCATGTTAAAGTAAAGCAGAAGACTGCTGTACTGAACATGTTAAGGAGACTGGACAAGATCAGGTTCAGAGGACAGAAGCGAGAAGAGTTTCCCGATTTGGCCGAGTCTCCAAATGCTTCCGATACAGAATGTGGAGATGATTTCCTTCTGAAAATACCTCGAACCTCAAAAGAGAATGAAGAGCTGAAGGACCCTGTGAGTATTCCAGTGATCATTTTCTCATGATTATTCTGTGTTTTTATTGTATAGTTCTATAGAATCACTGTCCAAGTTTGGAAATATTAATGTGTAAGGTGTTTGTGGCAAGGGCTCATTTTGTGCTAGTACACCTCAGTACAATATTTTCAGCTGGCTTTGTATAAGATGTTGGTAAACATAATGCATTGGGCGTTTCACTGTAATGATGTGCTTTTTCAGTTGACAGCCACAGATTAAGGTTTTTAAATGTAATACAAAAACATGCTTATGGTAAAAGAACCTATCAAAATATGTTGTATGCGAGAATCTGAATTTGTACTGTTAAATAATTTATGTAGGTTTCCTATGAAGGATGCATATTACTTACCCCCTTTTTAGCTTTATCTATGTTACTGGATGACTTGTGGAATTCAGGTAAGAGCCTCTAAGGTCTTGATGCTTTGACAATTGCCTGAATTCCTTCTGATAATACACATTGTCATCCAGCTCCTAAATAACCATTAGAGTATCAAACCCATAGACGTGTACAGGGCTCTGGCATGTGATAGTGTTTGGCACATTCAGGAGACGGCGTGTGTTGTCAGCATGAAGTCAGGCAGTTGGCAGAGCAGAACTTTTCATAATCTTCCAGGAGCCCAATCATGATGTGTTCTAGTTAAGGTTCATTAATGCGTGCCTTTTCTAAGTGTGTAGTGTTAATGCAGTTGATGCTGTCATCATATCGACTACTGAGCTGAAGACCTTTCTGTTTTGCTTTTCAGCTGCTTATTCTTTCCCCAGTCAGCTTCCAAGACAGCACCTGAGTGAGGGAAGCTCCTCCCACCTGAACAGGAAATGCTTCAAATGAGAAATTTTTTAGGTAGACTTCCATGAGACTGCACCTTGGCTTCCTAAGAGAACCTTAGGATAGATTGAAATATGTAAAAAGAACATACATAAGGAGGAACCCTTGCTGTCTTGAAAGTCCTCTGGAACCTGGGATACCTGTAGGAAAAAATGTTAGTTTTCCCCAATCTACTTCAGGACAGCACCTGAGAAAGTAAAAAAGAATTTACCAGACTTGGGGGGACTACAGCTTGAAGCACTTTCCTCCCAAATACCTGATCTGCTGACGGGAAAAGATTTCTTGGGGAACCTTTTTTCAGGGCAACTTTATCGGGACCTAAATTAGGCACCATCCTAGATTGCAGAGTGGACAAGGAGGTCTTTTCAACTAAGAAAACTGGTTCTCAATTTTCTTTTTTTTTTTTTTTTTTTTTTTATGCCTCCGAAGCAACAAGTACAGGTTTTGGAATAAAAAATAATTATCAGTGAAGAAGCTTGAAAGGCTAAAGGGAAAGGTAGGGTCTTTTTTTTTTTTTTTTTTTTTTTTTTTTTTTTTAAATTTTAACATTCCTGACCCAGCCCCCAAGAACCAATGACTACACTTTGCCAGTGGGATGGGGATTAGAGGCTTTCCTTTCATCTTGGCCGCAGATCATCTCCAACAAACCTTTCATGAATCTGGTTGCAAAGGCGTACCAATTTGAATTCTCAGAGGAACCTCTGGGAATCGCAAAGCCTCTCAAAAAATCTTTAAGGAGCTTATGTGCCAAGTCCGTGATGTAGGAACTTGCAGATCTACAGTTAATAATCCTAATTTTGCTTTGAATATACGGTTTTCTTTTGTCGCACGTAGAGATCAGCTTCACAAAAAACCTGGTTACAGCCAGTGGCTCCATGATCTAGGTCAGCGGTTCTCAACCTGGGGGTCGCGACCCCTTTGGGGGTCGAACGACCATTTCACAGGGGTCGCCTAAGACCATCGGAAAACACATATTTCCGATGGTCTTAGGAACCGAGACACCGCTCCTATGTCTCAGGCGATGTGTGGGCGGGATGATATGCTGCCCCTGTCACCTGGCCACACCTCCGGGATCACTCAACCGCTCTGCCTCCTCGCCGCTGATTGGCCACTGGAACTGTAGCTCAGGAGAGGCACACAGGCGGCCAATCACCGGCGAGGAGGTGGAGCTTGGAGAGGAGGAGCCGAGTGGCAGCGCGTGTAGATCAAAGAAGATCGAGGGAGCTGTCGGAGCAAGTGAAGAGGAGAGCGGCCCAGAGAAGGAAGACAGCTGACAGGTAAGTGCAAATTTTGCTGCTGCAGCCAGGTATGCAGGCTGTAGATGGGAGAGGGAGAGAGCGAGCCCAGGCTGGAGCAGGGGTCAGCAAGGTAAGTATCATTGGTGTCAGTGGGAGGAATAGTGCCCCATCATTGGTGTCACTAATACCAACGATGGGGCACTATTCCTCCCCACACATACACAAACGATGGGGCACTATTCCTCCCCCACTGACACCAACGATGGGGCACTATTCCTCCCCCACTGACACCAACGATGGGGCACTATTCCTCCCCCACTGACACCAACGATGGGGCACTATTCCTCCCCCACTGACACCAACGATGGGGCACTATTCCTCCCCCCACTGACACCAACGATGGGGCACTATTCCTCCCCCACTGACACCAACGATGGGGCCCTATTCCTCCCCCACTGACACCAACGATGGGGCCCTATTCCTCCCCCACTGACACCAACGATGGGGCCCTATTCCTCCCCCACTGACACCAACGATGGGGCCCTATTCCTCCCCCACTGACACCAACGATGGGGCCCTATTCCTCCCCCACTGACACCAACGATGGGGCCCTATTCCTCCCCCCACTGACTGACACCAACGATGGGGCCCTATTCCTCCCCCCACTGACACCAACGATGGGGCCCTATTCCTCCCCCACTGACACCAACGATGGGCACTATTCCTCCCCCCCACTGCCCTATTCCTCCCCCCACTGACACCAACGATGGGGCCCTATTCCTCCCCCACTGACACCAACGATGGGGCCCTATTCCTCCCCCCCACTGACACCAACGATGGGGCCCTATTCCTCCCCCACTGACACCAACGATGGGGCCCTATTCCTCCCCCCCCACTGACACCAACGATGGGGCCCTATTCCTCCCCCACTGACACCAACGATGGGGCCCTATTCCTCCCCCCACTGACACCAACGATGGGGCCCTATTCCTCCCCCCACTGACACCAACGATGGGGCCTATTCCTCCCCCACTGACACCAACGATGGGGCCCTATTCCTCCCCCACTGACACCAACGATGGGGCCCTATTCCTCCCCACTGACACCAACGATGGGGCCCTATTCCTCCCCCACTGACACCAACGATGGGGCCCTATTCCTCCCCCACTGACACCAACGATGGGGGGCACTATACTCCTTCCACTGCAAAATTACAGTTATGAAGTAGCAACGAAAATAATTTTATGGTTGGGGGTCACCACAACATGAGGAACTGTATTAAGGGGTCGCGGCATTAGAAAGGTTGAGAACCACTGATCTAGGTGATCTGATGATGATACAAAAGTATCCCCTGATTCCCTCTGACAGCATAGAGTTTTTGGTGTTCAGGGTAGATTTTATAGAGCAAAATATTTTTCTGCCTCATGAGACAATTGAAAAGTTAATTGTCCCTAAACATCTAACAATGCACTCGCCATTTTTCCATCAAGGTTAATATTTCAATCCTTCTGGCAGTGCAATGGGACCTTCTACTCTTGGTCTCTCCAATTCATTCTTCTCAAAGTCTAGGATCGGCTGTTGCTGGACAAGAAAGTGTTCATCCTATTAAAGGTAAAAAATTAGCTTTTGGTTGTGGAGAGCAAGTGATACCTTTCCACAGGCCTACTATTGGAGTTTCCAGTGGAAATAATGTAACACAGATGCCACCTCAGGGGGCTAGGGGACCCATTTACACAACCAGATAGGCCTTTGAAAGAGTAGTCAGCCAGATCCTCCAGCTGGGAAGAACTATAGCAGCTATGTGATTCAGGGAAGCCTTTAGGCCCCTTTCACATGGGGCGGAATATGCTTTGCGCGCCAGGCGTCCTGCCTGCTAATCCCCTGCTTAATAGAACAGGACGATAACAGGTCTGTGTCTGCTCAGTTTCTGCAGAGCGGACACAAACTGAGCCCTCTGTGCTGTATGGGCAGCTGGGAGTAAACAAACTGACTGTCCATTTTACACCCAATTGCTCTCCTATACAATCCTTCTAGACAGAAGGGGATGGATCATTTCCATATTATTTTTATTATTTTGCGGACCGTATTGGATTGGAGGTAGGTGGGTATAAACGCACAGAAGTATGTGCGCCAGTCCATAGTGATGCATGGACACCCTGGTTCATCTCTGGGAGATCAGTCTGTCATTCTTTTCTCTGTTTCTATTATTCTCCAGCATATTTTGCAAGTTTGTGGAGGAAGACAAGAGCTTAATTGTATTTGTCCCTTAATGGCCCAATGATCATGATTCTTAGTGCTACTCCTTTTTAAGCAAGAAAACCCCCAATGATAATATATCTCAGACCAGATTAAATACATGCAGGGGTCGATACTCCATCCCCAAACTTGAGTTTCTCAAGTAATAAGCATAGTTTCTCCAGAACAACTATTAAAGAGGAACTTCACTGCCATGACATGCATATTCCAGGAAGCTGAAGGAGAAGGGACAAGTCATTCTCACTTAGGTGGGGCATGGCAGTGTGGGCAGGGCCATAGTAAAAGGAAGAAAAAAAGAATGAAAACAAATTTTAAGTGAGGGTCCATTTTGAGAGAGGCTGTAATCACCTTGCTTGCCAGCCAAAAAGGTTACTTGGACTACCTACAGAAAATTTAGAAAGCTGTTTTCAACTTTCCTTCCACTCACCAACAGAATGTCTCCCAACCTGCTGTAAGTGGGAGGAGGGAGCCCAGACAATTATGGTGCCGTTAGAGCCTATGGGTGTTATCATGGCTTCCAGAGTTCCCGGCCTTTGTCAAGCAGTCTCACGTAACTGGTGCAGATTAAAATAGGTAAGAATATCATCTTTTCTGGTGGGAAGGAGCCTTGCTCTCTCATTTGCTGTTCTCGAAACTGATTTACCACTGAGACTAACTCT